TTGTGGGCGATGACAATCCTGAAGCTGCAGCTGACGGTGGTGATGAACCCGGTGCAGAGGATTGGAGGCGATTCGGCATAAACGACTCTCGACTAGAATCTAGAACACCCGGGATCATGGGAGCCGTTTGGCTGGATGAGAGATGCAGACCTCGAGAAGCAGGAGGATGTGGCAGGTGAGAGAGGAGCGCGGGATTTGACGGAGGGAGTGGATCTTCATTCAAAAGATTGACCAGCATGGAACCACTGTTAGAAGCGGACGATTTGTTACTGGAATTAGATCCACCTGGAAGAGAGAAGAACAAAGGTAACGTCCGTTAGCAGCATCATCATCCCTAAAACATCAGCAAATAGTTTGGTGCTTGAATCTCAACCATGAGGAACACAGTGTCCAAATGAAGAGCTAGGATAAACAGGAGGTACACAAGAAACCCAATGGACCTGACGAAAACAGTCAACAGTAAGGTACCCATCAACCCACGCAACGTTGAGGTCAGCATACATGAATAAAGTGGCATCAACAGGACTGATCCTTACAAAGCTTTCGCGGGAAAAGTCCAAAACACGATACTGACTGTAACTGAGTGGCCCGATGCACTCCACCATGATTGGTGGTCTGTCGTGTCCCACGAGAACTTCATCCACAAACAAGACGAAGCACGTCAAGGGGACCCCACTGTCCCGCTTTCCGTTCTTCTAATCACCGGCAAACTTTTATCAAGTACGGTTTAAAATGGATTGCAACGCGTCCTTTGGAAAACGGTGTACAAATATACCCAGATTACATTTCACTCACCTTAATCTGACAAACCTCATCTACTGGTCTAGGGAGGATGGCTTTTTATCAAGTAAATTCTAACCCATGACTAAATTTCCATCGCCAGCCAAAGTAGCGTCGATTGAAGTCCGTCCAAACCATCGTTTGGCAAATGACATACACCGGGAGGTACTAGCACGGTATTTCAGCACTTTTCGGTTGAATAAAGAGACCAGGCATAAACAGCTAAAATCCAACATGAGAAAGTCATCCATATGACTAACCTTCTTGAACAATATCCTTAGTTAGCCAACCCACAAAAAAGAATTTGTAGAACCGCACGATACCTAACAAGCTGATGCAAACGTGGACAGCTTTTGAATTCATCGGTATGGTCATACCAGGCAAGCAAGTCACAAAGATAGGCATATGTATGGATGATTATGCCAATTACCGAAATGGGGCAGATTAAAATAAGTTGCGGACAATCGCGAACAGACAAACCGATTGTCCGTGGGAATATTGGATTTTGGAGCACAAAAAACGGTGTTCAGCTTTAAGGTAGCCAGAAACTACGTGGACACGGATAGACGGTCAGTATTTCAATAGTTGTGCTTCTCACAGACTGCAACACAGCTATCTGACTTCGATCCAGCCGACCGATAGGATTGACCACATCATTTCCAGAAACACCAAGTACAGTGGGAGGTGGTATATATGTTGAATTATCCTATTCGAACATCTGATGGGTACCGGTTCACTCCTTGTTTGCAAACCCCTAAAAGGCCAAACATTCGGAAAACGTACCGGGAAGTGCACGAAACGGAAGAGAAGACCCATTACCTGAAGGATGTTTTGAGCCACTCGTCATCTGGCTGACGAGAATCGGAGTCTGAGTAAAGGTTCCTGGGATTGACAGCGGTACAGCAGGAGGCGTGGCAGTTTGAACGGTACGCCCAGCGTAAGGTGGCAAAGGATAGTTGGCGTTCCCAATCGACTGTTGTGGACCCGACGAGGAAAACACTCCTGCCTGATTGCCTAGAAGCGGAGCATGGACAGACAATGTTGGAGGGGAAGACAAACTGTCCCCGAGATCTCGGGCTCCAGGGAATTGTTTAGGCGGGGCGGTAACCCCAAGGACGGCAGAGGTGGCATTTTTACTTCCAGTTGGGGTATGGTCTGCAGAAGCCGAGGAATGTGATGACCCCGGGCATTGTTGGAACAGATTGTCAATGAGCAAATCATCCAATCGAAGGGAACGCGGATTGAAACTAGGTTGTGGTGATGAGGCTGATTGCATGACATTCGGATGACACTTAGCAGGAAAATCCGCGTATCGAACGTTTGAGAGCACGTTGTTTACCAGATCACCTTCGAGGAACAAAAGAAGGTAAGGTTGGAAGAGGAGCAATGAACAAACAATTCAATTGTGTTTTTTTTTATTACGAAACAGGTTGTGCTTAGGATATTCGACATGCGAGGTGAATGTGTTACCGCTACCACACCAGCGCATCCGAATTTCCACGTCTGATCAGGCGAACATGTTCACGTTTGAGCGATATGATTGGTTTTTCCGACTACTCAAGCTATGAACCAGTAACTATCTTGATTTTGACGATCGACTGACCCGCCCGTCAGGACTTCCCAATCAGGTAGGTATGGCTACGAACGCCTGAAACCTGCTGAAAAATTTCTGATTTCCATAAAGGAAACTACTCACAAGGTTGCTGAAAACGCTTCATCGAAGAGTTTTCAGCGGCCTGTGTGCAGCACATTCAGTTGTAGAAGATCATAAACAAGAGATTTACTTGAGTTTCTCGTGAAAACCAAAATGATTTGCAAATGAGTGTATTTCTCGAATTTCTGATCTTGTTTTAGGTGTTTGCGGGGATTTGGAGAGTTCAAGTTCAAATCATTCGCTCTTTAACAGGCATCCCTCTCTCTCAGCATAGTTACCCTGGAGAGTCCACATCTCAAGTTCAGTTTTACCCACTAAGCAGCAAGTTGTGAGGAAAGTTTGCTGCCCATTGCGGGGAGTGCACATTAGGGTACAATAGTCTTCTGGGTAGCCCAACTACGGGAACGGGAATTAGGGAATCGGATGGGCATTGAATATGGGTGTTATTTACCAGACTGTGGGTCTGGTCGTTTCATTTTCCGTCCCCCGTTATGTTTTATAAATCTGTTAACCTTATACACAGGACCCATAGTATGACCTCTGTTTATTACTACATGGCCCACGGATGGGCATTGAATATGGGTGTTATTTAACAAACTGTGGGTCTGATCGTTTCATTTTCCGTCCCCCGTTATGTTCTATAAATTTGTTAACCTTATACACAGGACCCGTAGTATGACCTTTGGTTTATTACTACATGGCCCGCCCACTGACGTGAAATAGTCCACTTTTCCGATGAAGTGGAGATCGTGACAGCTATGGCTTAAAACCAACAGACTGGATGCAAGTGTCACCGGTACCCTACATGAGTGTCAACAGCTGTTAGTACGCCTCGACCACGAGTGTCCATAGGAAGAGAGGACAGTTGTCAACTCAACCGAGTTTACAGGTTAAGGTTTCCATATTGCACTAACAGTCATGGACTGGTCGTTTTTGTCCTGCATCTGACTATGGAAAGGGGCTCTAAGAGGTGAGCAAAACAGGTAAATTCGTCAGTGACACCAATCGAGTGTAGCTGGCTCGTCTATCGGGAGGGTTTTTGCCAGAAACCGTCTGATGTACCCTAACACGGGGGCGAGATGGCCCAATTGGTTAGAGCTCGAATTCACCGACCGGGAGGTTTATGGTCCGAACCCAACCTCTGCCTCTCGACTTCCCCTGTCTGGGCTTGGGCAACCTGGCAGTATCCCAGCCCTCGTGCTTTCTGCTGAACACGGTTGACCCCAGATCAGGGTAATACTTGGGAGATAGCGGTTGTTTTCTGCAAACAGAGGCCAAATATGTCGCTGCTACACTACGGCAGTGTATAGTTTACCAGTGGTAGGCACAGACCGGCGTCAGAGGTAGCGGAATGTGATGTCGGGACCTATGTAGCTACCCAGGTAGGTGGACGTAGTGCTAAAACAGACTGGCTTGTTTTGAAGAATTTGGGCTTGATCGTACTAAATTTTGCAGTATCACCATATAGCAGATCAGCGACCGTTTCCAGATTTTCGTCCCATAGACCTACGCCAGGGGACCCTAGCGCAAAACCGCAGACACTCGACTGGTACACTCATCTGCATACCAATTTGGTTTCTACAGGAAATCCACCTAGAAACCAGCTGTATCTATCATTTGTGATGTTCTCAACTGAACCAGGGCGCCTCATGTTTCAGTTGCTACGATATCCAATGTGTTGAGGTGATACTCTACTCATAAGGTTGATGAAAACTCTTCGACAGCCCACGAGCGGTTTTGCCCCTCTCGGGACTCACTGTTATCACCACAAACCAGAGATTCAGGTGAGTCTTCCGTCAAACCAAACTGGGTTTACAGATGAGTGTATAAGTCGAATTTCGCGCAATTTTGATTCAAGCAGATCATAAGGTTGATGGAAACTCGGGGACAGCAGCTATCTGATGAGCCTAAAGAAGGATGAAACAAGTCGTGGGCCGTCGAAGAGTTTTCAGCAAACTTATGAGTAGTGCATTACGTCCAAAACCATGGTCAGATTGCGCCGAGCGGCACACGAAACGATCTAGGCACCCTGCAACCCCAAAAATAAAACCGGGGAATGAATAAGAATGTCCAGCGAGTCCTGTGATTGAGCTGGCCAGGTTCGTTAGAACCACCTACCTCTGTAAACAAAGGCAGTAACACAACAACACAGTCAAACGGGAGGGTTGTCTGACATGATGTTACCAAATTTGTGGCATGCGTCTCTGGAACATAGTCCACTCATTCGACAACTCATCGTTTCATTGAAGAGTTGCAACATCAGAAAACTGTTCCGAAATTTTTTGCGCAGTTGAGTATTTAAACCCCTCATGAAGAATGCGTGTGTTACGGCATGCAGAGGATGGAATTTTCAAGTTGCGAACAGAATGGACCAAACACATCCATTGACTTACCCGGGTGGCCCTCCGAATTGGAAAACATTGGGGGTGGAGTAGCCAGCACACCAGGAGGAAGCGGGGCCATTTTTAGGCCGCTTGTCGGAGCAACGGTCGTCGTGGGCATCAAGGGCGCTTCGAGGTCCAAGGCGGCAAAGCGGTCCGCACCACTAAGAACTCCGCCAGTCCCAGTGGCGTCTTGTATGATGACATGCGAGCGAGCCCGCGCAAGCATGCTACGCAGTTCACCTAAGAGTTTTGGGGAAGTGAGCGATTGGAAACGCGCTGCTGAGGACTGATCGCCTGATTCAACACCATCCTCATCATGGTAAGTTTGTTGAGGTTTGGTAATCATCAAAGGAAGTTGGCGATGAGTCGGACAGCCAAGAGAAGTGAGTACCCATACCAAGCCAACTGGAAGGGCATGGGACCGCGCCAGGATGGGTAAAGGATCAACACTAATCCCAGGGTTGCCCGACTGATTTTCATCAGATATGTAATGGTCACAATTTATGGTTGCTCGTTCCACCTCAAACTGGCCAATTTCAATGTCCACTGAGGAAAATGAAGAAGGGTGTGCCATCAGATTGCATGCGACGTGGTGATACAAGCAGAGAAAAAACAATACGAGAAAACAATATGCTTTTCAGTTGAGCTTTCGCGTAGTCGCGATGGGAACTAAACTACAACTGCTAAGCTGTTGGGCACAATTCCCCATTGTTGCCTAGGTAATAACGAGGAGACAAATTCGAACTCTTTGGGAAACTAGTTGATTATCGAAGAAGTTCAATCACAGCATCATGGGCCAAGTGCGGAACGCGAGGTACTGGAAACAAAAGAAACATATGACTGCGGGTTGATACGGCAAATGAAAGAGTTTATAGCGTGCAACTGACACAGAGATCACAAAAGCATTATTTATTATGGTAGTAACAATAAACTCACCAAAAATATAATAAAGCCCCTCCAAAGCGATGAATGTCATACGGTAATCGCTTCTGGAGAGTCCTGTCAAAGCCCCTTCGTGGCCTACACAGAATGCAACCACTATGGCACGATTCTCGCGAACCTCAATAAGACGCAGCTGTCCCATCTACGCTGCACAGACGAACTCGGGGCTTATATAGGGACAGACAAGGTGACGCGCCCGGTGTGACAACGTGCTCAGGGACGAGTCCCCACAGCGGTTATTGTGGAGGCTTGTCTGTACCTGAGTGACTGCTAACTGAGTGGTGCAATGGGGTACAGAGGCCAGGAGAAAAACGAGCACTTACACTGAACGGTTCGGTTCACGTCACAAGGATGATCGAACTGCACATGCACCAAACTGGTCGACTCAATGGTGACAGTGAAGTGGAAGGTTAGCGAGTCATCTAAATGAAAGAAGGGAGAAGAGATTAAAGCACGACCGGAAATATGAGACTGAAGTTACGAATAGAGCTGTAAAGAAAAGTTTGTGTCACGGCTTACCTTTAACAACTGGTTTTCGCGGATGTAACACAAATGTTTCGAAAAATGCGCTGGCCGATGCATGTTGGCGCAGCAAGGAGATGATGGGGCTCAGCTGATTGGAACAAGTAAAGGGAATCTGAGAGACCAGAAAACCTCGAAGATTTGATCGAATTTCGTACGAGTGTTGTGTCATGTTGGGCATTCGCTGATCGAAAGAAAAAGATAGACGGGATGCTGAGGTGAAGGAAGATTAGCGACACAAAGAAAACTTTTCGAACATGATGAACAACAGCCTACCAAATGTGAATTGATCCCATACAGATGTTCTTGTCCATGACGACTGAGAATGACCTGGACCAAATCTTGTTCTTCCGTGGAATCCAAAATTCCAAAGTCAGAATCGGCCAGACCTATAAAAGGGCAAGTAAGAAGTGCGAATGGGCGAATTTTTTGCCAAGTCGGCTCGGCACATGGTAGTGTACAGAAAAAAAGGGAGACAGGCTAATGTGAGTAGACAGCGCAGTTCGTTTGGGCTAATTCTTCTGAAAATTGTTCATGATCGATTCAGGTAGTTGAAAGCGATATCGGGTAGCACTGTGACTACTATGATATTCACTATCTTAAGACGTACTATTCTCAGGGGTATAATGGGCAACTGGGGACCTAAGACCTATATATGCTTTGCTCACCTTACTTCACATGTTCACCAAAGCTATGTTCGACAAGAAAGTGTGTTGTTCACCTTTACCAGAAGGGTGCTGATGTCAGGTAGACGTCTGAATCGCAGTTGGATAAGTGCAGATCACAGAAATCTTAGGAATAAAACTAGGCAAGTACTATTCACCTGCTCACAGATTTCCTCTATGACCTGAGTGAGTGACTGACCAACTCGCTGAGGAACGGCGTATCACTAGATAGTTCGGCGCGGGACTATTGGCGAAAACGCTACGATTTCAGAAAACACCCCCCCGTATCTATTCTTGCCATCAAAATTTTGCGATTCGTCCGTGGTCAATCCTCTGAACCCAGCGAAGTCACTTATCAATTGCCTAGTTCAACCAACGGTCACCTACGCTACCTGAGCCGCTAGCGTTTTTATCAGCAGCGGAGGGAATGAGGTTATTGGTAGGGGATTCAAAAAGAGAAGGAAACAAAGTAGGAGAGAGAGAGAGCGGTTTTGAGTTCAGAAACAACTACTCACTGTGAGGTTAAAGTGCCACACAGGAGTAATTGAGAATATGATCCGTTATCACAGTGCGTCCTCTATAACGAGACAGACAGTGTTTGATGTGAAAATTCCGAGTTTAGGTTCCATAATCGGCCGCACTGTATGGAACCGGAACAATGCCACTGAGATCATCCATAAACATCATTCCTCGAATATGCAGCAGCTCCCAAGCCACTCCTCAAAGATAAGTGTTAATAGTGTAGTGTCTGAAGGGTGTGACTGCACATGAGCTCGAACGATGAACAATAAAACCACAAGTTCTGGCAAGGAAAACTTTGAGGACTTGAATTCTATCCGGGGGGGGGGAACAATGACAAGAACGGAATGCTGTACCTGATTCTCTGTTTGTCAAACGACACCAGAGTTATCTCGGGACTTTGGAGGAAACTTACGACTAGGGAACTTAACTTATAAAACCGTCATCTTCGAGACACCATTTCACCACAGTTTATTTTTGCCAGCTGCGTTGCTGAAATTGAATCTAGCCGTACAGCTGTAAAACCCTTTCCGTGCTTAGCTGCCATGCCAGTCGAGGGAAGCACGAGGGCTGGGATACTTCCAGGTTACTCAAGCCTAGACAGCAGAAGTCGTGATGGAGTGGCCGGGTTTGAAGCACAGATCTGCCGGTCAGTAAATTCGCACTCTAACCACTGGGTCATCTCGCCCCCATGGGACAAAACCAAGTGCACTTAATAATAACGATAGATTGAACATTTCGGGTTACGTGTCGAGGTCAGCATCGGATACGTTGTTCTGAGACACAATTGGCTCCCCTAAAGGGTACAATAAAAAATGGTACGCCTTATATGTGAAGTGGATAGAAAACTCATGGGATACTAGTTACCAACCGCTCTAGGGAACACAGATGAGAAAATGGAAGAACTCGCTTTGGGTGGAACTAATTGGCCAAGGGAGTCTACCCAGGAGGCAACTGGCACTCTTAACGAGTGCCAAACTAGTGCTACAGCCAGCACAACGCCGAACGCCAGGTCTACGTAATCTGAGCTTTCTAATCACAGAAGGAAATTACAGTTCATTTCGTGATTATTCCAAAGCCCATTAAAGATTAACTGAACGAAATACATAGGCATCGGGCTGACAAATAGGGCACTCAGAACCATTCGCTGTTCGGGACATCGAAACTGCTGTCCACGTTAAAGTTCTGGTCTACAGTATCCATGCTGCACTGGATATTATCCAGTACTGAAAACTATGAATTTTAAAGTGTTTCAATTGTCGATTTTTTCTCATAAGTGAACGCGGTCCCGTTCTCGAGTTCCGTGGGCAACCGCGGTTACGTTTTATTGGAACAAGGCTTCTTGACTACTCATTCAAAGGTAATAAATATATCATACAGTCCTGGTGAAACACTAAGAATAAAAACTGGAAGCGATGAAACGTCGGGGAATTAAAAGCACCACGGAACCGTCAGTCAGCCGAACCCAACTTAAGTGAACCATTCCAACTGATGGCATCATGAGCGGGCTGTAGGTATCGTCTGCGGGGTGTGTCACCAACCGAATTCCAAGTTTAGTCCGAAAATCACGCTTGACTTACAACTGCATTTGTGTCACTCATGAACACCCGGTATAGTCTAAGGTACCTTCACTCCCGTCAGATGGAAGATACGGATTCTCTATCGCTCACAGCTCATTGAAAAGGAACAAGTGTGTGGACTGAATGAAAAAGGACGCACCTGAGATAGGAAGAGGAACTTCACAGCAAATCTTAGCCTTCAAACAGTGTCCTACCCCCTTTTTGCGGGTCTGTGGATACGGGACGATGGTAGCTGAAAGGACGGTGATGTGATTTGCCCGGGTGGATAGTTATGGGCATGATCAACGAGGCAATTAGGAGAGGTGTTTATGAGCGACTGGCCTGGTGGTGTACTATAGCTGAACCTCAAGGGGAAGAACTTTGAATTCCGGGTGGGAGATAAGCACTCGAAGGTCTGTTCTCTTCTAAGAATCACAAAAGGATGTTACCAATGAACTAACAACGCCATAATTCAAAGTAGTTTTCGGGCTGTTTGTGCAGATGTGAGCGGTCAACCGAGGAATAGCGAAAGCCGTCAAGAACCACTGCCTTGACAGCAGTTGCAGACGCAAAAATGTTTCTTGAGACAGAATCGAAGATTCCTACCTAGCACACGGACGAAACACAACGATTGTTTGGTAGCACATCAGATGTCTGCGAAACAGCGAACAGTCTCCCAAAATGACACCACCAATCCGTACAGCTGCGCTACAAAGACAACGGACTATATTTGGACTACAGTCTGTGGAGCTTACCCGTAATATGCTGCAGCTGATGTACAGCATCCGACGTAAGCGGTACGGGCGGATCCAGGTAGAGCACGAATTCCGCCTCGATCGCCACGCATGTGATGTCATCCGGTTTCGCAAAGTCAGGTAGACTGCAAACAGTAAGGCGCAAAAAATACGAGGTGCCGGTAAATCAACGTCGTCTCTGACCAAAGGGGAATGGAGGGCTGCCCACTTTGGATGCGAGGCGGCCTGTGATAGGTTGAATCTAGGGGCACAAATAGGTTCGAATGGGGCTTCGTAGTACTTATTGTGGACTGAAGTCCCTTGTAGAACATCGACTCGTACACAAACGACAAGGAGAAATTACGAAGAAACTCCAAGGCACACCTAAAGATAGTGGTTTCCGAATCAGTAAGGTTACACAATATTTTTCAAACATACGAGACCCATTCTTCGAACAGTGGAAATAAACAATTACATTTGGGCAAGCCATATAATTGTCAGATAATTCATTCATCTTTGAACAGCACAACAAGACGTTTTTGTGAACCTATGGAGTTTAACATGAAAGTTTCTTGCAAAGCTGATGCACAAATGCATGTATGAGCACTTTCTGACCGTGGAGCGGTCATTGCTCACCGTCAGATACTCGCTGGATGTGCGAGTGGCTGATTCAAGCTCAGATGTTAGGCAAATTAGCCAAGAGTGACAAACTCGACGAACTATTCGGCAATCGATGCACACCTGCTCATTTGTGGAAACGGTGAATTTTCTGCCCAAAATTACAACGAGTGCCGTTAGATGCAAGCTACCGAAACAAGATGGAAGTTAGAACAGCCAAGTGGAGTTCCAGTTCGGTATGTGGACTTTCTGGAGTGCGAATTTTCCATCCATTGAGGTTGTGTGATCAAGAACGACATAGTAGCCGGGTGTGAATTTGTTCGAATTTTTAAACGTTTTAATTTGGTGACATTTTACTGGAGATAGCAAACTGTCTAATTCTTAGGCCTAATCAACTCAAGCTCCTCTCTACAGTTCAGTCAGGTTATTGTGGTTAGTAACGGAGAGAAGGTGAACTACAGTAGACCATAGCCTTTCATGAGCCGTTTCCCCCATATTTTTACTACTAGTGTTATCAAAGACGTTCAGTATTCCTCACGTTGCAGGGTTGCTCTCCATTAGGGACGCCATTTTTAGTGAAGTATTGTCTCCAGTTATAATACAAAGACAATAATAGCAATAATAGTAATCCTAAAAAGGCAACTTTCGGCAAATCATTTGAAACTACCTTTGACTACGTCATAGAAGAGATAACGTTTGCCTGGTCTCTGCAAGTGGGCACTGAAAAGAGAGGCGATTGTAACTTGCACCATAACCGTTATTGGGGGCGTTCCTACAAACAGAACGAGCAGTTGACGGATATGGTCCTCAACCCGAGCCCTTGCAGAGATAAGCGTTGTCGTCCTAGAGGTCAAGTGAAAAAATGGCTTAATGCGGACAAATGAGACGTTGTAGATCTTAGTGTCCGATTTGTCTACGGCATTCGTAGCTGGAAAGATGATGGGTCACAACTCGATCACTGTCATGACCGTCAAGCGTTGGCAGCTGCAATCCGGGGAATTCATGGATCTCACACAACCCCTCGTAGAAATCAGCCGCAACAAAGCAAAGTAAGTGACTTGAGAAAGTAATATCTTGCAGGGAACAAACTGTCACTTATGAATTGTGCGAACCATCTTATATCATAAGAACTCAGTAAACTATAAAGCACCTCACCGGTTGCCATGGGCATCCTCTTGAAGCGTGACTAGTGGTATAAAAGCAAGCTGCTGAGGACCAGACGACTGACATCCGTCAGTATCCACAAACTCCGGATAGGTAATACGGGGACGGAGACCCACTCGTGCCATGTGGCCTCCAACCAATCCCTCGGTCGAACCTTTTCCTACGATTGAGCAGCTGACCGAAGGTTTCCTAGACCCAGTTGATGAATTTCCAGCGCGAAATACTGCGGCTTGGGCTGGAGTTACTAGGTAGGTCAGTCGAGCCAAGCGGCCTCCAGACCGACCGACAAAATGGCCAACCATAGATTGATTTACGAGTGTACGTAGGGCAAATACATCACTACGACTGCCCAGTTGTTGACGTAGAGAGGTAAACGAGGGTAGGCTATTCAGGGAACTTCCTCGTTGATCCGCACTGGCGTCTGGTGATCGTGACACCTGACTCAGCATAGACAAATCCTGTTCAATCGCCTCGAGGCACATATACGCTCGTGCACGATCGATCCTAATGAAGTGATGGGAGAAAAATTAATGAAGTTAGCGGGGAGAAAAGCAAAATAAGTTATCCGATTTTGATTTTCAGAGAAGAGCCACCTGACTTCCATTTGAATCTCTCATTTATGATGTTCTTTAACTGCATGTGCTGCACAAAGGATGCCTCATTTAACAGGTGGTACGATATTCGAGAAGTCGCAGTACATTTTTATGAAGGAAACTAACCATAAGGTTGCTGAAAGCTCTTTGACGCCCAACGACCGGTTCCACCCTTCTTGAGGCCCAAGAAGACCAGAATCGGTCAGTGGCTGTCGAACAGTTTTCAGCCATTACAAAGCTACCTCAGGAACTGTTTCTATCTATCTATGGTGCCCCCGTAACCTGGTCACTCACAACAGTCGCCATGTAGACCGCCATATACACAACAAACATAGGTGGATATATATTCAAGTGATAGTCGTATGTCGCCAACGACAACTGAAGGAACAAGAGTCGAGACCGAACGGACTATGTAGGTAAATCAAAATAGAGAATCAAGGGAATCTCGGAAAGGTTACGCCCCGAGAAACTAGAGTATGACAATAATACCGCAGTAAACGAGAAGATGGTGAAAAAACCGTTGTTGAGGACGGGTTGACGTTTGAATGGCCCTACCGAAGTTGCACCAAATATGAAATATAGCGTGCTCTAGCAAAACTGGATGATTCAACAATGCAGTTAACGCCTGGCAGTTGGGTTCATCATCAGGAAAATGGACCAACAAGCACAAAGGATCACCCCGAAAATAAGCCGGGGTGATCAGCTAGTTTAATTGTCATAAACAAATATGGGAAATAACATTCATTCATCTCTGGAATAAGGGTCACCAAGGTATAGGCTCCATCGGACCAAGGAGGTTGCTCGTGGTAATTCAAGTTGAAACCATTCATTCAGATAGAATTCCATCGATTTTAGACACGCAGTCAGCTCAAACAGAGAAGCTGTGAGATTTCAAAGGCACCACTATCGGTACATTACGACAAACAATTTGAATGAATGATCAACTAACAGTTGGGCTGGGAGGTCGACTGATCCGAGACGGACCCTCCTCATTAGGTGTCGTTGTGTATTGTTCAGCTGTAGCACCCTTTCGGTGCCTAACTGCCATGCCATCCGAAGGTTTCAGGAGGGCTGGGATACTGCCAGGTTGCCCAAGCCTAGACAGAGGAGTCGAGAGGCAAAGGTCGGGTTCGAACCACGGACCTTCCGGTCAGTAAATTCACGCTCTAACCACTCGCCGTTGTGTATATCGACTGGCTTGTGCCTCACGGCCACGTGACAAAAGTTCACGTCACTAGCCTACTCACGGAACATGGTTACTCCATCACATGTTGAGCTTTGTACCACGTCAGATTCAGAGCACAACACTTGGGCTATCGACCAGCGAATGCCTCAGCCGAATCAGTCAAGTGACTTTGACGATGAAGGGAGATGGCATCTGCGCTGGAACCGTGCAGACCAGATACGTGACGCTTGGCCAGTATGTACCTGAGCAATCATAATATACTATTCATATTAATTAAACCAAAGCCCCAGTTTTTCTCACTTGATAAGTTTTAACTTTGTCTCCACAACAGTGGAGGCTATTGGCACCTTGAAATGGCACCCGAAAAAACAAAATCAGCCAGCGAATTACTAAATTCCATAGAGGAATCGCTTGCAATATGAAAAATCGTTCATTCGTGCAAAATTTCACCCCAAGGGGATTTTCTCCCCTTAGCAACAATGTACACAGCATTGTTCATTTTCATTATTCCCCCATGTCTGAAAAGTAACAATACTGTTTTGTTATTGGGCAAACGATTTAGGTTTGAACGTTCTCGAGCACGCATTGGCATTCACTGCTGCTGAGCTGGTGGAGTTCTGATCAATTCCGATCGATCCACTCCAGTTTTACCGCCGTAATCCTCGAGCGACAATAATTGAGTCATAGGACATGTTTTACCTATATTCCTGCTTCTTCACAAAGATAACCGGCCAACAGAGGTTAAAAGGCGAAAGCGGCCTACGTAGGTCAACATACCTGGGTCTAACGGAACGTGATTGAAAATACAGGTGTAACGGTGGATACTGTTGATGAGGCGTGCGAGTAGTGTGTTTTCTCGTAAACCCGCTTCACGTCCCTTGAAAAGTGAGATCTATTACGGAATTTGTGGAGTCGCTTTGTAGCATTTGTTTGCATTTGAATAACAGTCAATGAATATCGAGAGAAATTCAGGAAGAGACGTTCAGTTTGTAAACAAGATGCATATGAGAGTTTTGCTCCCCTGTCCATAGTCTGTAAATGAATATCGAGAGAAATTCAGGAAGAGACGTTCAGTTTGTAAACAAGATGCATATGAGAGTTTTGCTCCCCTGTCCAATAGTCTGTAAGTGTTCGTCTGGTGTTTCTCTAATAAACAACTGCGCAGCTAATGCCTTCTTCCTTTCACGGGTAAACAATCACTACTGGCGTCATACTGACGTGAGAGAAAAGTTTATAGTGATCCTACTAATATTCTCCAGAAGGAGAGGGTGTTATCGATAGGAAGGTCAAGTTTTGAGTAAAGCTCACTGTGTCGACCGACAATGGGGTAAACAGTACAAGTACGTAAACTTCGTGCTCGTAAGATCCACTTGTGGCAAGTACCTCGACACTTCTGGGGTTAAGCCGTGAAGCCCATTGCCAATGTTATGAGACGGAAGAGCTGATATCGGATCAGGGCCTGTACCACATAACGATCGGTCGTGGGCTGTCGAAGAGTTTTCACCAACCTTATGAATAGTGTATTATTTCTATACAGTGTATTGTGATTTCTCCAACATCGTAGTAACTGAAACAGAGACAGCTTGGTGCAGCACATTCAGTTGAGAAGAACAGCACAAACAAGAGATTCAGCTGGGTTCCAAATGAGTCTTGTGACAAAACCTAAAATGGTATGGAAATGAGTGTATAAGATCGGGGAAGATATTTTTAGTGAAGTTGTAGGGCTACAAGGTTCACTGAATGCAATGATGCACAGCATTTAACGGAGATATGTGTATGATATAGCAGACAAAGTGAATATCATGATTTGCCGAGTTCCGTATTTATCGGCCGAAAGCATAGTAACAAGCGTCTTTGCTCACGGTGCTTTCGACCTACAAATATAAAATGTTTCAAGCGCGTCATGTGATTCACGTTAACATATTGCAATCTGCGTCTTGTGACTGTCCTCAATCACTCGACTAGGGGTACCTAGCGTCCCAGTTTGGCAACACCTTCCGTGATGAACCCAAGCATCCCAAAATAGGATGTTTCCCGTTTTCATCATTTGTTCTACCTTCAGTCCAACGGCTCTGCTCAGATAATGGTCTGCCACGACGTCACGAACTCCATGCCGGAACTGATATGACTAAGTGCTTATAAGGAAATATACGATCGCATGTATGAATGTTTAGAACAGTATGTGCATGCATATTTTTGCCTAAATTTACCAAACAGATTAAGTAAAGACCTTCGAAAGCACACGTTGACGAGACTGGTCAAACAAACTGGTCTACGGGTGGAGCATTGATAGTGTGTTGTAATCCATGAAGTCACCCGTATCAACATAACATTGGTAGGTTGTATGGCTAGGTTTACCCTGGTTATTTTCACCTGAAAGATGGTAAGTTATAATAGAAAAACAATAACAACTATCTGAAAGGATCAGTGAAAGCGACCAATATAGAGATGTGTTCACTTTGGAGGGGCTTCAAGGTATACTGAGGCTCTACTCTCAACCGGCTCACGATCTGAAAAGTTTGGAGACTCCTACTCAAGGAGGGCGATTCCTGACTGATGCGTGTAAACTCACATTCACCCCCCTCTCCGAATGGCAATCAACAGAGCGTATACGTGACCTTCAGTCAGTCAGCATCGAGCCAGAACTAACCTTGGGAAATCCTAGAAAACAAGTCATACACACTTTATGAAAATTCAGCCTGAGGAGGGGAGCAGATTTGCCATATATTTGTTGAAGCGATTCCCTCAGGGGGTCACACAACGAGCGCAGAGAGTACCCGGTTGGGAAGACTGGCTGGCTCAGCGAAGCGGACAATGAAGGCGGAATAAGGGCCCATGTAAAGCACGGTTTGCCATAGCTGAATGGCTTTGGCCGGAGATTAGTCATGCGAAGTCGCGTGTAACAGATCTCAGCTGAAAGCCCACAGTCACAGTACCCTGGTGGGCCGCACGCTTCACATCAATTTTCTTGGAGAGGCAAACATGGGTCAAGGATGGCAGTTATGATCCAGTTCCTCAGTACGATGGAACGGAACTTAACACTTTCGATCTCGAGAAGACTCAGTGGTTAAGAGACGAACTTACTGACCGGCAAGTTCGTGGTTTGAACATACCCTCTACAAATCGACTGGTCTTGTTTAAGTTTGGGCAACCTGGCAGTATTTCGGCCCTCGTGTTTTCTTCGGGTGGTACGGCAGCTAGGTACCAAAAGGGTGATACAGCTGAACCATAACACTATCGTTGACGCTGCTCATACGACAACAGTAACTTTAAAAAGTTTGTATGTCGTTTGAGGTAATATTCCGATTCCAATCAACAATATCAAGGATGTGTAGTTTACTCTGCTTACTTGTTGCCCGGGACAGCATAGACAGTCACAAGGTTGGTAACGTGCTGCGAAAGGGAATCAAAGTTGCCTGAGTTGAGATCTGGAATCAGTTCCGGGCAAGGCTGTTCAAGGGGAGAAAGTGGTATGCAAGCGGTTAGAGGGTACAATCGTGAAATTATTGCGATCTACACCAACTACGCAACTTCAAAGATGCTTCCAGTCAGAATCTGCAGCTGTGTCAAACATGAGCTGACGCTGGCTAAACTAGACAAACAATCCTCGGTTGCACTTTTCTAGCATAAGTGCAGCCGAGGTGAGAACATTTCACAGGCCTCGAATGGCACCTACACAGGTAGGTGTCTCTCCGACGCGTATAGGTCAATCACAGACGTAAGCCCCAAGACAGCGAAATCATGCTCTTGTAAGATGGGGATTTACTAAAGGAAATCGCTTAATCGATAAGTATTTGATGTTGCAGAATAATAACGAGTAGTTGTGAGAAAAAAGTAACAGGCAGGTACACATTAGCAATGCGATGTTCTTGAAACTTATCAGTAAGGTCATACGGTGGATTCGCTGTTACTGGTCAGATACATTCCACAAATTTTCTAAACCATTGTACGAAAATTGCCTATGGGCATCTCTGTCGTGTTTTTGCCAAACAACATAATCTAGCGAAAACAAACGTCATTGAAAGCTGGGGAGCTTACCAAGACCTTGTCATGGTTGAATTCAAACAACACCGATGTAATGGTTATGAACTCATCGAATGTGGCCGAACCGCCTCCACCGGACTCACAATCACTTGAACCGGAGGAGCACTTATGGTAATTGAGTTGGATTGAGAAACACTCGGCTGTCAACCTCCAGGCGAAGGCCATTCTCTGCACCCCATCTGAAGTAAGGGTGGTCGACTGTAACTGAAGATTAAATTGCAAGGCGATTCGCTTCAGCTGACCAATAAACGACGCGTAACGAATCACTGGCGTCCCATCCGGTCCCGATTTGGACTTGATGCGCCAGAGCCGCGAGGTGCTGTCCGGGAATTCGGTTGGTGCTTGTCGCAATGTGGGCATGAGTATTGAGCTGGGTAGGGAAAAAGAATTATCCAATGTAAACGTAAGCAAAAATTAAACACACCAATACACACAATACACTGAACTCGGCTCACCAACATGCATGAGGCTCGGACTCGAGCCTACTCAGTCATACAAGAAGAGTATGAAGCGCACACCAAACCGTGATGTAGAAGTATCTAAGTTATCTAACATGGTGTGCATTACGATGCGGATCTGAGACACCAATACACACAATACACTGAACTCGGCTCACCAACATGCATGAGGCTCGGACTCGAGCCTACTCAGTCATACAAGAAGAGTATGAAGCGCACACCAAACCGTGATGTAGAAGTATCTAAGTTATCTAACATGGTGTGCATTACGATGGCATCGGATCTGAGATGAGCTCTATTATCTGAGTAGCCGATGTCTGTGAGCAAACGCCATGGGAACATTTCGAACCCTCTGATATTAAAGCCTGCAACTGAGTATTTCACAAGCATATCGATGAAGTCAAAGAGAAAATGTGAAAGAGAACAGTCTTGTCTGACACCAGTGGTAAGAGCTTCCCGTAGACCGTCACGCATCTTCGGCAGGTGGCTACAGCTCCCGAAGGATAGTCAACAATTTATGTGGGACAATTTGGGTCCATAGACACCACGCAATTTCCGAAGATCGATAGTCGGAAGCAGCTTTCAAGTCAATGAAGACCATAATTGTTGGTTCCTGAAGTCAGCGTCATTGTTCGAAAATCTGATGGAGAGTAAAAACGTGATCGATACACTTTCTGGCAGAGTGGGACCCAGCCTGGTTTTCACACATCTGCCTCTTCCTGTGTTCAGTCATAATCATCATCGACAGCATGACATCAATGTTCAACACTGATCACTGCCGTATGCCTCTTCCTGTGTTCAGTCATAATCATCATCGACAGCATGACATCAATGTTCAACACTGATGCTTCACTGCCGTATGTGTTCAGTCAACCTTCGAAGGAAAGAACAGAGAGCACATTTGATGCCACAGTGGTTTACACACAATGTTCGCATACCCTTTTTGAAGACAGGAAGAACTGCTGATGTGCATCGTTCTGCAGGCACTTTATCTTTTTTTAATCTTTTTATCACGCCACCGGTCATGGTGGTGTGATATACCCGTGTAATAGTGTATACTACCAAGGAAACGGGTGAGTAGTATCTCAACAGACAACTCATTCGAAAGCACTTTCATTTAACTCGTAGAATGACAGTCGATTGGTCATTTAACAGTAACATCTTGGATGTCACGGCTACCGGGTTGATGTGACGGTAGCTTTATCATGACATTCTTGTGCCTTTTTTGGAGATTGGAATCACCATAGAAGCGCTCCATTTTACAGGTATTGTTTTTACCATAGTAGGGCTGTCAAGCTGCTCACCGGATCTTTACTACCTGCAGACTACAAGGGCGGGGTACCTTTTCAAGTTGGACGGATGGTATTATGATCCGGATTTCTGTTGGTGACGGCAGGGAGGGTGTCGGTGTTCCATTCAGACTAACTGGGTTCTTCCAGAGGTTGTGTTGGAGGAGGCCAGCTCAAATACTCGTCCCTCAAGACGATGCTTTTGTGAAAGAACTGCTGTTTCACCTTTTTCGAAATTGTTTCGCCGAGACTTATCTTCTAACTGGGTAGTCGAATCAACTGTATTAGGGTGCGGCTATTGGCAGCACCGGAAGCCTTCCTCATTCCCTTGATCTTTGTAATCCAGCAGCATTCTGTCACGGTGTTGAAGGGATCGGTGCATGCGATTGTAGCGGCTAGTTGTTGGTAAGGCAGCAATCAGATCCGCCGATCTCAGCGGTATCCAGTGTCTGGTCGGAAGGCCTGGGCAGAATGTTCCCAAAGCTGAGTATAGCTTCCTTCCTTCATCTACCAAACAATGATCATGAGAATTATTGTAGGTCTCCAGCAGCTTTCCAATCAGCTCAGCTTATTATGGTTAAGCCACTGAAACTCGTCGAAGCCGACGAACGGAATTCGCGTTTTTTTCAAGCTTAACTCCGAGGGAAAGATAATTGATAACCGAGCCTGCAGTCGCACGATCGAAGTTCACTTTCCTACCCCAAAAGCGACGGCAATCACTAATTTGCGCTCTCCATTGGCAACGCGGATTCACATGATCCAGCTGAGTTCATGACTGGCTTGTGGCCTCCAGACAGTACAGTGTGGGAGCTTGTGCGGAAATTTAGTAATGGCCAGAGTCAGCACACTATTGAAGAGGCCGCCCCCAGTATGCGCTTAGTATCGAATCCGAGTCTACTGCCTAAATTCTTCCTTTTGGTGGCATAGCAGTTAAGTACCGAAAGGGTGCTACAGCTGAACGATTACTGTCTAGTGGAGCTTGGTTGCTCATTTTGGACGTACGTATCACCCACAACGGTGATAGCGTCCCGTCTTCCTACTGACGGAAACAGTTCACAAAGGTATCGATAAAAAAGATCTTTCTTAGCTCAAGTCTTTCGAGGCGCATACTGACACGACAGATATCCGTGGTCGCATTGGTCTGCAGTGACCTTAATTGAACAAGGGCACCGTATACCGCAAAGATGCCTATTTACTGCAATCCAGTTCAACAAAGTTCGCTCAGTTGTGGAGCTGAAACATAGAGCGTTGCAGCAGGATCACTAGACACCAGAAAAGTGGAATGCGAAATGAGCTCGTTCTACGCGGCTCGAGATGCACGACCGAAGTGGGGTGGCGTGCTTGAGACACAGGACACATCAACAGGAAGGAAAAACAAGGTTTTGGCAAAAGAAGCTCGTTGCCAAACTTGACAGAGTAGGGGCATTGAGAGCTATAAGATCTTTTGCGGTCTGTAAGTGGTTGTTTTGGTTTATTTTTCTGGTCGATAGTTTAGACACGACACAATGTCCAGGGAACTGGTAGATGGATTGACCTGACCGTATCCTTTGACTGATACGTCTGACCCACAAGGCAGTGAGCAGCGCGATTTCCTTGAGAGATCCCACCTGGAACCAATTACTCAATAGTCCTGGCTTATCTTGAGGAAGCAGGGTGTAAGACAAGGAAGTCTCACTCGTGGTGGTACTGCGCACGACAGGCGTTTAGAGCTGCACCGAGCTCAATGTAAGTTTTAGATGCATTCTGCCTGGGGGAAACACCAGACTGCGCTTACGCTCCCATCGTACAGGACAGTGCGACCCTACTTCTAGAGTGCCTCCTATGGTGGTTATCCGTAGTGTGTGCTCGTTGACTTTCTGTTAGGACGGTCAGATCCTAACGAATAATTCCACCTTCTGTAATATTTCACCAAGATTCCATTTTTTCTCTGTTGTAGCCAACTGAGTAGCAGCAGTCTTTCTTCCATTGGTTCATCTGCAATATAACCGATGTCCTTTGTCTTCTTCCTTGAGGTTTCCCCCACTCAAGTACTGGACTGACACCCAGCCAGCACACAGACAGAAGTCTGACTTCTCCCATTTGGGTATCCTGGAAAGGTCGAAAATTGTGGAACAGAATGTCATGGTTTGCAGTTCGTACCTTCGAAGTGATAACGCTAGCTTATCTCGGTCGGCTTGTAGCTCCTTGCAGATTTTTAACCTTCCATAGGTTGGAGCCGCCAACAAGCATGATGAACTGTTAGGGTACGACAGGAAACTAATTAAATTTTGAACATCAGTGGACCAAGGAGAGCCTCTAGTAGGGCACCGCAGGTAGCTGGTTCTGCCCGAAAGCGGATTTCCTTAGTTCCAACCTTCCTTTGTTTTTGGTTGATAAACCCTCTTACCCCAGATTTTCATAGTATAACATGGACCGTACGGTTTAACCTTTCACTGCATGGATCATCTATCGGTTTCGCCTCGCCGCAGGTTTTTGACGCAAGATTGTTCACGGGAGAATCTGTGCGGTCCGACAGAGCATGCTACCGGAGTTGTAAAGGTCATCGACGGTAGACGGACATTAGATGGTAACCCGTAGTTGCTGAATTTTGGAGACAACATCACTATTCCCGTGCTTCAAGCTGTTGTTAGATCGCCCGGTCCAACGGGAGTGTTGTAAAGACAGACTGGTGGCACTGGCAAGAGCTGCGAGTTCGTTGAATGCATATGGATGTAGTGCGCCTGGTCTCGGTGACCTTTCGGCGTTTAGTCTGGTCGGGGGGAGCTCCACTTCTGACGCGGAGAATCGGATACACTTACAGCCAGCCACATAGGTCTGTTACTTGTTCGTAGTATTAACTTGCATTTTGTTGTTAGTATTGCTTTGTAGTCTGTGCCGTTGTGTAGTCTGTGAGCCGTCGGGTATGACTATTCCTGCAAATCTTTTCTTTTGTTGGACGATTTATGTGAGGGCGTATTTCAGTAGGCGCGAATTCTTCGGGTTTTGCCAGCAATTCTTCATAGTTTCCTCTAGTCACCGTCGTCATTTATCTACACTGATTATGGACGTCCGCACTATTATTCTGTTCTACCGTGGAACATTTTCCGATCAATGTCGTGGTGTTATCACGGGACCTAGGCCACATGCCACATGTGGTTTCGAAATGATCTACCGTTCAGTCTAAGAATGACGACTAGGGCTTGCGGGCCTCTTTCAGGAGGTTGAATAAAGGCGATATGGGATGTTGCGTGTCCGCATCCTTTCTTGGTGATCGTCGTATCATGGTCGCTTAATTCCCAAGAGCCCCCTAGTGCTAAAGCAGCCATTGGCTGTGAAAAGTTTTTGATATCCAATATTGTACCGAAGGCTCATAATCATTGCCAGCTGTAAGAACCGCGTACTTGTCGTACAGTGGTGGACTGTCAAGAGGGTGAGGTGGGGATCAATGCATTTATCGAGGGTGTTATTTCTTCCGAATACCATTCGACGTACTTCAGCATTTCTTATTCGGTGTTCTCACCAGACTCGCGCAATGATCCGAAGACATCGACAGCCAAACACTGAGTATTCTGAAGTCGTCGGCACGCAGTGGCCAGGTTTCCAATCCGTACAGTAATATGGATCACACGGTAGC